ACCACACCACCACCCCCCCGCCCCAGTGCACAAATTTCATGCACTGGGCCTCTAGTTGGTTAATAAAATTATATAGTCTGGCCAGTGTTGCTCAGTGGTTGAGCATCAACCAATGAACCAGGAGGTCAGGGTTTGATTCCCAATCAGAGCATGTACCCAGGTTGCAGTCTCAATCCCCAGGGAATGTCCCCCAGGGGACATTCATAAGACAGCCAATCGATGATTCTGTCTCATCATTGATGTTTCTATCTCTCTCCTACTCTCCCTTCTCCTCTGAAATCAATAAAAATATATTTTTTAAAAGAAAAAAAGTTATACAGGTTTTCAGTATACACTTCTATAATATGTCATCTGTATTTATCAATCTTTTGCATTGTTTTGCTTGGTTTTTTTTTTGTTTTTAGGCTCTGTGAATTTTCCTGTTATGACTGGATTCACTGTGCACCATAGCTTTGGGGTTGTTGTTTTCATTCTCATTTGTCTCAGGGTATCTTTTGATTTCTTTCTTGATCTTATTGTTAACCTGTTCATTGTTTATTAGCCAATTATTTAGCCTCCAAGTGTTTGTGGGTGTTTTGGGGATTTTTTTGTTTTTTCAGTTTTTTTCTTGTAATTGATTTTTAGGTTCATATCATTGTGATCAGAGGATATGCTTGATATTATTTCAGTCTTCTTGAATTTATTGAGACTTAATTTGAGTCCTTATATCCTAGAGAATGCTCCATGTGCACTTGAAAAGAATGTATGTTCTGCTGCTTTGGAGTGAAATGCTCTGAAGTTATCAATTAAATTCATTTCATCTAGTGTATCATTTGTAGTTTCTGTCCTTGATTTTCTGTCGGGAAGATCTATCCATTAATGTCAATGGGGTGTTAAACTCCCTTACTCTGACCATATTACTGTCAATCTCTCCTTTTTTGTCCATCAAGATTTGCTTTACGTATTTAGGTGTTCCTATGTTGGATGCATACATGTTTACAAGGGTTATATCCTCTTGTTGGGTTGCTCCCTTTATCATTATGTAATGTCCTTCTTTGTCTCTTATTTCAGCCTTTGTTTTAAAATCTATTTTGTCTTTCATAAGTCCTGCTATCCCAGCTTTTCATTTGTATGAAATATCTTTTTTCATCTTTTTACTTTGTTTCTATGTATCTTTCATTCTGAGGTGAGTCTCTTGTAGGCAGCATATATATGGATCTTGTTTTCTTATCCATTTAGCTATCCTATGTCTTTTGATTGGAGCATTTAATCTATCTTAATGTGATGATTGATAGGTACATATTCATTTCCATTTTATTCTGTATAACTATGTTCCTTTATTTTTTCTTCTTCTTCTTAAAGAAGACCCTTTGACATTTCTTACGGTTTAATGAACTCCTTTAGCTTGTTCTCATCTAGGAAGTGTATATATATATATATATATATATGTGTGTGTGTGTGTGTGTGTGTGTATATATATATATATATATATATACGCTTAAGCGACCATCACAACCAAACGGACGACCGAACAGGATGCGTGGGGCGACCAGGCTGGCATGGGGGTTAGTGAGGGGCGACCAAAGAACCAAGCAGCAGGCTGCGTAAAATGACCAGGCCGGCAGGGGGGTTAGTGAGGGGCGACCAAACGACCAAGCAACCAGGCTGTGTGGGGTGACCAGGGCCCACAGGAGGGGCAGTTGTGGGGCGAACCAGTGCCCTGGGTTTTTTTGGTTGTTTTTTGTGCCATTCTTTCCGGTTGGTGGATTAATTTTTTATTCACC